CCGCCAGGGGGGGGGGGGAGAAAAGGGGGGGGGGGGGGGGGGGGGGGGGGCCGGGGTCCCCAAAACCTCCCCGAGCCCTCGGAGGGCGGGGAGGGGGGGGGCGCCCCCAGCCCTGCGGGGAGTTTTGGGGGGTCTCCCCCTGTCCGCGGGGCCGGGCTCTGCCCCAGCGCGGCCTCCGGCTGCAAAACCCAATCTAATTTTTAATTAAGGGGGCGGCGTTGCTAAGATGCCAAGAGGAGAGAGGGGAAGGGAAAAAAATAAAAAGGGGGAAAAAAGGAAAAAAACAAAACAAAAAAAAAAAGCACAAAAAACCCGCCGGGACCGCGGGGGTTGGAGCAGGAGCGGGCGGAAGGCGCCGGGACCCCCGGGACCCCCGAGGGGCAGCCCGGGACCCCCGGGAACAAAAGCGGCCGCGCTGCCGGCCCGGGGCACGCGGGGAGCGGCGGGAGGGCTCCGGTGTGGGGCGGGATGGCCCCGGTTTGGGGTGAAACGGCCCCGGTTTGGGGGGAAACGGCCCCGGTTTGGGGGGAAACGGCCCCGGTTTGGGATGGGATGGCCCCGGTTTGGGATCGATGGGTTCAGTTTGGGGTCAATGGCTCCAGTTTGGGATGGGACAGGCCTGTTTTGGGATCAATGACTCCAGTTTGGGGTCAATGGCTCCAGTTTGGGATGGCTCCAGTTTGGGATCAGGGCTCACATCCCCACATGACAATCCCAGTGACCCCCAAACCCATCCCAAATCCATCCCATCCCAAACCCATCCCATCCCTTCAATCCCAAACCCATCCCAAATCCACCCCAAATCCATCCCACCCCAAATCCATCCCAAACCCATCCTAAATCCATCCCATCCCATCCCTTCAATCCCAATCCCACCCCAATCCCATCCCCTCCTCTCCCACCTTTCTCCTCCACCATCCCCTCCAAGAGGAGCCGGATTTTCCCTGGAAAATTTGGGGTTCTTTCAGGAAAACGTGGGGGATTTTTTGGAAAACCTGGGGGATTTATGGAAAACGTGGGGGTTTTTTTGGGAAAATTTGGGGTTCTTTCAGGAAAATATGGGGGATTTTTGGAAAATGTGGGAGATTTCTGGAAAATGTGGGGGTTTTTTCGGGAAAATTTGGGGTTCTTTCAGGAAAACGTGGGGGATTTTTGGAAAATATGGGGGATTTTTGGAAAACCTGGGGGATTTTTGGAAAATGTGGGGGTTTTTTCGGGAAAATTTGGGGTTCTTTCAGGAAAACGTGGGGGATTTTTGGAAAACGTGGGGTTTTCTGGAAGCGCGGGGTTTCCTGGGGAGCAGGCAGGAATTTGGGGCACTTTTGGGGTCCCTGCCCCCCGGGCCGTGCCCGTCCTGGTGCGGCCGGCGCGGCGCGGGGCTCATCGCTCTTCATTTCTCACTAAATAATTTTCTGTATCTTATCTAAATGAAAGCCATTATTCTTCCCCCGTTTCAATCACTCGCCGTGATTGCGCCTCAAATTGAAATATTTATTCATTTTCTGGGCCGTTCCTTCTCTCTCTGCGGGGTTTTTTTTATTTATTTTTTTTAATTTTTTTTTTCTTTTATTTTGCAATTTTGTATTAGATGATAATTTTTATTTTATTTTTAAATGTTATTGTAGATTTTATTTAATTTTTTTGATTTTGTATTTTTATTTTATTTTTATTTTATTTTTGTTTTATATTTCCGTTTTATTTTGTATTTTATTTTGTTTTATTTTTTCCTCCTTCCCTTCCCTCACATGGGAGAGGTGACAGCAGGGACCTGACCCCGAGGGATTTGGGATCCCCAAGGGATTTGGGATCCTGGAGGATTTGGGATCCCCAAGGGATTTGGGATCCCCAAGGAATTTGGGATTCCCAAGGAATTTGGGATCCCTAAGGAATTTGGGATTCCCAAGGGATTTGGAATCCTGGAGAATTTGGGATCCCCAAGGGATTTGGGATCTTGGGGGATTTGGGATCCCCAAGGAATTTGTGATTCCCAAGGAATTTGGGATCCCCAAGGAATTTGGGATTCCCAAGGAATTTGGGATCCCTAAGGAATTTGGGATGTTGGGGGATTTGGGATGGAACTGGGATGTGACCCTTTGACCCCAAATTTTGTTCCAGAGACGATGATAGGGCCAGGCCCAGGAGCGCCCTGGGAATGGGATTTGGGGTGATTTTGGGTGATTTTGGGGTGATTTTTGGTGATTTTTTTGGGTGATTTTTGGTGATTTTTTGGGTGATTTGGGGTGATTTTGGGTGATTTTGGGGTGATTTTTTGTGATTTCGGGTGACTTTTTTGTGATTTTTGGGTGATTTCTCATGATTTTTTTTGTGATTTTGGGGTTATTTTTGGTGATTTTTGGGTGATTTCTGGTGATTTTTTTTGTGATTTTGGGGTGATTTTTGGTGATTTTGGGGTGGGAAGCCCCAACCCCGGAGCCCCCAGCCCCTCCTCCCGATTCCCTTCCTGTCCCTGAGGCGACCTCGGGGGGCGGCGCCGCTGCCCCCGCTCATTAATTCATTAATTTATTCATTAATTTATTCGTTCGTTAGTGATTCACTCATCTAATCCCTCCCCCGTTAATCCAGGCTTGGTTTAATCCCGAGTTTTGCCCAAATCCCGGGAATGCCCAGCTCGGGTTTGGCTTCGGGAGCTCTCGGCAGAAATCGGGGGTTTGCGGGAATTTTGGGGAATTCTCAGGAATTTTTGGGAATTATCGGGAATTCTCAGGAATTCTCTGGAATTTCCGGGAATTATCTGGAATTTTCGGGAATTATCGGGAATTAATATCCTGAATTATCGGGAATTCTCAGGAGTTATCGGGAGTTCTTGGGGATTATCGTGGATTTGGGTGGATTTTCGGGAATTGTCAGGAATTATTGGGAATTTTCAGGAATTCTCGGGAGTTATTGGGAATTCTCAGGGATTTTTGGGAATTCTCGGGAGTTATCGGGAACTCGCGGGGATTATCAGGAATTCTTGGAAATTATCGGGGATTATCGGGAGTTATCGAGAATTATCAGGAATTATCAGGAGTTATCGGGAATTATCGGGAGTTTTATCAGGAATTCTCAGCAAATTTCGGGAATCATCGGTAACTTTCGGGAATTATCGGGAGTTTTATCGGGAATTACCGGGAATTATTGGCAGTTATCGGGAATTATCGGGAGTTATCGGGATTTTATCGGCAGTTATCGGGAATTTTCGGGAGTTATCGGCAGTTATCGGGAATTATCGGCAGTTATCGGGAATTTTCGGCAGTTATCGGGAATTGTCGGCAGTTCTCGGCAATTTCCGGGGTTCCCGGCCGTTCTGCCCCCTCCCCACGACTCCCCCCCCTCCCGGCTCCTCTTCCCTTCATTATCTCTTAATTAATCGCTCCGGCTCCCGCTCGCTGCGCTAATTGCGCTCTCATGGGCGCGCGGCTCATTTGCATAACCCCGCCTCCGGGGGGGGAGGGACCCTGAGGGTGAGAACCCCCCAAAATGCCCCAAAACGCCCCAAAATGCCCCAAAATGCCCCCAGCCCCACAGACACGCCTCGAGGAGCCGGGGCTGCTCCAGGGGAACAGCGGGAAAAGGGTCGGGGTTTGGGATCGGGGATTTGGGGTTTGGGATTTAGGATCAGGGATTTGGGATTTGGGATTTGGGGTTTGGGATCGGGGATTTGGGATCTGGGATTTGGGATTTCGAGGTCAGGGATTTTGGAT